CACACATACATGCTGAATCACATCACCTTGGGAGTGAAACTCAAATGACAAAGACACATGGGGGAAGGCAGAGAGCTCAGAGTTCAGCTTGTCATACCTATAAAATGAACTGGAACCCACAGCAGCCAATATGTAAATTTCAGTGGCTTAGCCCCTCTGAGGTTAGTAAACTCTGACCCAGTTGCTGTTTTCTCTTTCATGTGAAGCAAAATGGCTGTAGCCTAATATCCTTCTGAAAACAAGAGACGCATCTACATTTTCCAGACTGGGACCAGAGTTTTGGGTCATGTTGATGGCGTTCACACATGCACATGGCAAGAAAGGACTTAATTTGTGCCCACGTGCCTTTCTCCAGGGACAAGCAGAGACAGGAACCTCACTCTCAAGTGACCTCCTTTGTCTCCCTCCTTCCTGGCCAAGGAGACCAGCCTGCCTTTTATGATGTGAGTTTACTATCCAAAGACAAGCCCAACTGGAGCAAAAAGAATTGCCTATCTAGGACTCTATCATGACTGACAAACTAAAAAGGAATATTGAACAGGAGGCTTCAAGATGGATATTCCGGTGCCAGGTAGGGAAGCCAACACCCCTCAAGCATTGCAGAGAACAAAATTGTTTGTTTCTGACATGTTGTGTGATCTTCTGTGTTACTAATATGAAAAGAACCTTCCTTAAAAGACTGTTTAATGGTGGCAAAATTATTTAATAATGGCAAAACACATGTTTCTGAAATTGATATATCTAAGGAATATCACTGACATAACTTGTGTTTAGGATAGTTTATAGATGTGTTTGGGGGCTTGCTGGCTCCCCTTCCCCTCTTCCTCTCCATCTCCCTTTCTCTTCACAAACAGGTTAAAAATGATTGTGAGAATTTATTTGGCTTTCCTGGGGGTGAAATGAGAAGCAACATTGAGGATGAGTTTATTGGAATGCTTATCTCCAAATTCTATTCCCATCACTCTGCTGCATTAAGTCCAGGAACCACCCAGCTTGTCTTACAGATATTTAGCCTTTCCTCTATAGATCAACTAATTCCCAGCATGGACGCTGTAGAAGCATAGATCCCAGCAAAGCCTCATAAATGCACCTGAGACATCCTTTGCCTACAAATAATGAGTCCCATACTAAACATCTCAACAATATCTCAGCAATGTATGTTTACTAGAATAGAGAGCCCAGCCCCATCAGCTACCACTGTGTGGCCAAACACAGCTTCATAATGATTATCTGCTGCTGCAGGCATCAGTTGTTCAAACTAAATCGTGTTTACTCAGAGCTATGTCTGTGGTAGTGCCAGCTCATCTAATCCGCTCCCATGTTACAGTCCCCATTTCTGTATTTGGGAAAAAAAAACTCCTACACAGAACCAGAGAAGCTCTTACCATTTTGAACTCTGTTTAAAGATATTTTTTAATTAATAGAGAAAAAGAAAAAGAGCGATCTAAGAATTTAATTTTTTTCCTCAGTGGCATAATCTCTGTTTCTGACAACTGTAAACTGAATGTAAGAAATGAACTATTATCAAATGAGTGAATGTAGCAGTCAAAGAATATGCAATATAAAGCATATATACAATAGACAGGAGAATATAGTGTGTCATTAGTTCTCCTAAGCAGACCCAGGTGGTGTAACCTTCCAGAAGAAGCCTGTACTCCAGGATCCATTTTTAAAGGTTCATGGTGTCAGGCCATACATAGCATTCACTGCCCCACATTTTCATGAAAATATCTGGAAACCTAGTTTTCCTCTCAGTCGACTGATTTGTGTTCATTTGTGCTCTACAAAAATTAGTTTAACCGAACTCCTATTGATGGATATTTGGTGTTTGTATTTTTTTAACCTTTTAAACAACAATACAATCTATATAGACATCTGGGCACACTTAGCCACTCATTCCGCCCCCCAGGATGGCTTAAGGGGTTTTCCTTACTCCCACTCCGATACTCTCTCACATGTATGCTGCTTCTATCAGGGGAATGTGCTAAACACATGAGCAGTAGATTCAGGTCCAAGCTCTACCCTTTAATGCTATAAGACAGTCAATATTAATTTCTACTTCATAGGGTCTTATGGATAGCTAAATATAGTGAGCCATATACAACGCCTGGTGCTTTAGAAGTTCTCAGAAAATGTCAATGTATACTTGATATCGCTTCTATAACTAAGGAGAAAATCACTCTCCATTCTCTTTAGGATGCATATTGGTTGAGTTCATCAGCTATTTTACACACTTAATTTTTATTTTCTCTATACCTCCAACTTGATTCTTCTCTTTCTCCATCTTCTGGTGAAACACAATATAGAATCTGTCATTCCAGATTAGCAAAACTCCCAGTAACAAAAATAAATTGGGCTGTCTAATCTGGTTACATGTGCAATTTCTCTAGAAAAGTTGGTTGTTGTAGTGATCAGTACTAACCTTTCATCCATATTGCAGACTACTCGCACTGATTATATTATTGACTTTTTAATTGCTTTTTCATTTATAATGCAAGTATCTGATGAGTGCTTGTCAGTTACATATAGTAGACAATACTTCTCAAATATCTGGTTAACTAGACAACAAACAGCTTACCATCTACTAGGGAAGAGAGAATCCAACAGCAGTTAAGAGTAAATGGGTTCTATAGCCCTAACAACCTGTCTGCAAAGCCAACTCACTAATGGAAAGATGCTCTTGAGCTGAATCTTGAATGACAGCTGTTTCTGAGCTATCCTAGGAAAAGCAGAGTGTTCAGAAGCAAAGAAGATGCTTTGCAAATGCTGGAGGCCATAGTAGAACTGTAAGGAATTTACCATGGTAGGAAGGGGATGGGAATGGATGATTACAAGAGAAACAAGGCTGTAGTAAATAAATCAGTACTCAAAGCAAGTTCTTCAGTGTCTTTAATTGGTTGCAGTGGAGACAATAACTCCAAAGGCAGTATAAACTTGGTTGATCTCAGTGACACCTGAGTTCTACCTGACCCATTGCCTTATATGTTGCCCAAACTCAATTTCAAAGTGCATTGCAAAGATATGAGCCTTGGTTTTGTGTGTGTTTATGTGTGTGTGTGGTGTACCTTCTATGAAAAGCGTTAAAGCAAAGAAATTCAAATAGAAAGTCAGTCTTAATTATTATTAACTGAGAGGCGGCACTGAGTTCTGACTTAATATCAAAGTTTATAATTTGCAGAAGTTCCCATACCCACTCACCCCAGTAAATGTCATAAACAAATGGCTACTCTTTATTTTATTTGGTTTTTTTAAATTACTTTATCTATGTGTGAGTGAGTGCCGTGTGCTTGTGGGTACAGAGGTCAACAGCTAGTATAAGATTCCTTGGAGCTGGAGTTACAGGCAGTTGTGAGCTGCTTCACATGGGTGCTGGGAACTAAGGTCCTATGGAAGAAGAGCAAGTGCTGTTAACTGTTAACCATCTCTCCAGCCCCTCCTTTATTTTAAATGATTAAATGATAATCAGTCTTATATGGTAAGCTGCTAAAGAAAGAGATATAGTGCATAGTATCATATATATATATTGAAATAAATTATCTTCTACAAATTCAAGCCTCGCCCATGAAAATAAATATTTCTCTGTCAGAGAAGCCCAAGAGCTTCCACGCATGCTTGGAAAAGGGGTTAAGCTTTAGCAGCTGCCCTACTGCTCTGTTCCTCTTCGGTGAGGAGGGTTTTTGTTCAGGCAGACAATGGAGTACTACCACTGTGGTGGACGTTCGGAGCTGGCACCAAGCTGGAAATCAAACGTAAGTAGACTCCAAACTCTCTTTTCTCCATTGTCTGTGTCTCATAGCCTCTTTGTCTAAAAGTGATGTGCAAAATCTAACTCTCAAACCAGATCCTAGCATTCTCCAGGGTAAAGACAAGTAATAACTCTGTAAGCAATGCTGGGAATAGATTGTACATGGTCTCTGGGTGCAAATGGGATAATTAAGAAAACTGATAGTTCTAGACAAGGCCTTGCTCAGTAGTCAGAAAGCAATACTCAGTTTTTGTATGGGGAAGAAGGGAAGGGAAACCAGTGTGTATACACGTTCGGAGCTGGGACCAAGCTGGAAATCAAACGTAAGTGTTCTTCTCAACTTATTCTTCACTGTGTCTAATCAGGTTACTTTGTTCTTTTTTTGTGTGTTTTCCTAAATGAGATTTTAGGGATGTGATAAACTTCATTCTCAGACTAGGTGCTAAGGAGGGAAAATTGTTCCACAGCAGGCTGGCTAGTGGCTAATTTTTAGGCTTTCTAAACCAACATAACTAAATTGGGGAAAGAGGGATAGTTGCCCATCAAGGGAGGTTTTTGTAGAGGGAGAAGTTAAAGTAGATTACTGTGAAACACGTTCGGTCAAGGGACCAGACTGGAAATAAAACGTAAGTACATTTTTACTCAACTGTCTGTGAAGTTTGGGTCCCACTGTGTCTTTTGTGTGAGTCTGTGATGTTTTGGGTTAAATGAACTGTTCCTGGTGACCCAAAAGTTAAATAGAAGAGCACCAGAAAATAGCCAGTATAGAATCTGGACAGACAGACTGACCTTCATGTCAGAATGGCAAGTAAAGTAGGATTTGTGAGAGGAATGGGAAAGAAATAGTTTTTCTCTGAGTTTGGCAAATGTGATTGGGCTGACTTCAGAGGCAGATTTTGGCAGAGGGGGTCATTGACATGAGTCACTGTGGTTCACTTTCGGCGGAGGGACCAAATTGGAAATCAAACGTAAGTAGATTTTGGCTCAGTTATTTGTGACATTTTGGTTCTGTTGTATCATTTATGTTAGTTTGTGATATTTTGGCTAAATGAATCATTCCTGGTGACCCATATACATCAATAGAAGAGTCCCAGAAAATAGCCAGAGTGACAGATGAGCAAAGAAACTCAAGTTAGGCTTGTGAGAACAGGTTTGTGAGGGAATGGAGAAGAAAGAGCTGGGCTTTTCATCTGAATTTAGCCAGTCTAGTTGGGTTGGCTTCAGAGGCAGGTTTTTGTTGAGGGGGACTTGTCAGAGTCCTCACTGTGGCTCACGTTCGGTGCTGGCACCAAGCTGGAGATAAAACGTAAGTGCATTTTTCTTATCTTTCTTTTATGTGTACAATTTTCATGTTAGGAGTTAAAGTCAGTTCCAAAAATTGGCTGATTTGCAGAAAAATCTGCTGATCTGGAGAAAGTAGAACGGGCTTATCAGATGATGTGGCATACAATGTCAGATTTTCTGTTTCTCAAGATGTTGAGATTAGGGACAAAAAAAAAGGAGGCTTTAGTTGAGGAGAAAGTAGTTAATACTGTGCTCACCATCAAGAGATTAGACTGAGGATGAAATATAAGTAATTATTGTCTATTGTCTTCTGATATCTGGATCTAACTGCTCAAGTGTTGACTTCTAGAAGTTTAAGTAGGAGATTTGAGGAGAGGAGGAATGAGGGCACTTCAGGGTGGGCAAGATCTAAAGTTGGATTGGGCTGTAAAATTTGATATGGAAGCAAAGCTTTTCATTGAGATCAGCTAAATGACTCCAAAGGTGGGAACTGCAGGTAAAAAGAGGGGCTTGGAGCGCTAAGAACAGACATATTGTATTGAATTTCCTCAAATACTGTGTTGAGTTTTACATTAAACATGGTATAGCGCAGTTGAGTGAGGGGGCCTTAGGCTGCTTTCCCTCTTTTGTCTCACAATTTTTTTTATAACTACAAAAATCAGCATCATGCCCTGAAATAAAAAAATCAGTAAAATGTTTAAAATTATGACTGCTTGGGATGTAGAAAAGGTGGCCTATTGAATAGTCCAAAGAGATGTGATTCTTAGAGTCTAAAATCTGTCACAAAATGTCAGAATGAGAGGCTATAGGAACAAGTTCTTGGCAGACAGCTCGTTTTTTGTCTCATGTCTGCATGAATGTGAATTATAATAGTAGAAATAGTATTATATTTTTAATGGCCACGATTTTGTAAGATATATGGCCCTTTGTTTTCCCCCAGTTATTTTTCTACCGCCAACAAGGGGCTGAAATGGTTGGCAGCGGCTTCTTTACGACTCAATGACTTCGCAGCGGTGCCAACCATTCAGAGTGGCCGCTAAGGGCCACACAAACCCCGCGGTAGCGCCCTTCGCTCCGTGAGGATCATTTTCCTGAGGCACAATGATAAGAATGGTGCCGTTAATGAAAAGAGACTAGAGATGTGACAGACAGTACACTAACGTGGGGAAAAGGTGACTTATTGGAGATTTCAGAAACAAAATTTATCATTATATTCCCTTACTTACCCATTAGGGAGTTATAAAAGGCAGAGAACTGTTTTGTACCCAGTGTTATATTAGAGCATATGATTCTTTGGAAGTAAAAGCAATACCAGGGAAATTGAATTAACACCACTCGTACGCCATTCAAGTCATGGTAAATCTACTTTGACTAAGCTCTCATTAAATTCCATTAAATTATATGGCGTATTAACTGGTAAAAATAAAATAAATTTGTGACATGTTTTAACTGGTTAGGTAAGCTATTTTTCTTTGTACAAAAATATGACTAATAAAAATCTAGCATAAACATATTTTTCCAGTACTTTAATTCAGTGATAGAAAAATGTTTAACCTGGTTACTTTAATTCTGTAACCTCTAGAATTGTTTACTAATTTGTTTTTGTGGTTGACCCTTCCCCAGACAACCACAGTGATTTACGCACCTTTTAAAACTCTTGAAGTCATTTTAGAGTCATTCAAGTTATTTAACCACTTTTAATTATATTAAAACAACGTCAAATCCTTTTAAAACTGCTAATTTATTAAAAGGGGGAGAAAAGCTGCTCCTAATTCTGTTGTTTTTCTTGGCAAAGGGCTCTCAGTTTTCATTTTTACTATCACTCTGTCACCTAAGGGTTGGCATCCCCACAGAGGGGGATTTCCAAGAAGCCATCTGGCAGCTGCTGAAGGTCAGAAGTGAAGCCAGACAGTTCCGCTCAGGCAGGTGGCCAACATTACAGTTGACCTCTTCTGGTGTGGCTAAAAATTGTCCCATGTGGTTACAGACCATCAGACCAGGACCCAGGTCTCACCTGGAGGCCTTGGAGAGAACTGAGAGAGTTGCTGGACATACACCCAAACACGGACTCTGGCTCAAGGCCCTGTCTGTAGGGTGCATCTAGCTTGGCCACACCAAAAAAAGCCATAGAGAGTCTGATATAAGAGAATTCTTGAAAGAGGCTGGAGAAACCTGCCTTCTGTCCCTACCCAATGTGTTTGTGTGTTCAGACTCCCAAACACCAGGGATGTCAGATAAACTGGCTTGTTTTCTCTCTCTGAAGCATGGAACCATTGCAGCTGATGGGAAACACAGTTTCAAGGAAGACAGGTATAGAAGGAAGTCTGGGAATAGCTTCAAAGGGTCAGACACAATTTACTTTCCACAGAAGTAGCCAGGAACCAGGGAATAACTCAAAACCAGCAAGATTGTATATGTTTACTTCCTAGCCTCATTCTATCTTGAAGGATAAGCATGCTTTTCTGTGTGTCTGTCTACAATGTGACTGTCCACACACAATGAACCCAAAGAAAGACCTTTCCTGTTACTTCATGCATCTTCTGTGTTTCCTTCCTCAGGGGCTGATGCTAAGCCTACCGTCTCCATCTTCCCACCATCCCGTGAGCAGTTAGATGCTGGAGGTGCCACAGTTGTGTGCTTCGTGAACGACTTCTACCCCAGAGAAATCAATGTCAAGTGGAAAGTAGATGGCAGTGAAAAACAAGATGGCGTCCTGGAGAGTATCACTGATCAAGACAGCAAAGACAACACCTACAGCCTGAGCAGCACCCTCTCGATGACCAAAGCAGATTATGAGAGGCATAGCCTGTATACCTGTGAGGTTACTCATAAGACATCAACTGCAGCCATTGTCAAGACCCTGAACAGGAATGAGTGTTAGAGCCAGAGGTCCTGAGGCACCACCACCTGCTCCCTAGGACCGTTCTCAGTCTTCCCTCCTAAGGTCTTGGAGCTTTCTCCATAGACTACCTACCACTGTTGCAGTCCTCCAAACCCCCACCACCTCATCTCCCTCCCTTTCCTTGGCTTTTATCATGCTAATATTTGGGGAAGATATTGAATAAAGTGAATCATTGCACTTGAGATCTTTGTCTCCTTTCTTACTAAAAGGTTGTTAACAGTTGTTTTTTCAATTACCTGGTTTCTCTTCTAAAGAAGTTAAATATTTAGTTGCCCTGAAATCCAATACACTTAAAAAATAAAACAAAATCCTCCATCTGCCATATGTGCCTGTCCTCTACATGACAGCCCTCTCTAAGGTTCACAAGTGCTACTCACATCTCACCCCCTCTGGGCCATGGTGGTTTGGAGGAGGCTTGCTTCCTAGTCTTCCTCTCCTAAGTCCTCAAAGTCCAGAAGGGGACATATTCTGTGATCTGATTCAGCCTACCCTGAAAACTAGACAAAGCAATGGAGAGTCTTTACCACAGGAAATGGAGACAACCTAAATGAACAAGCAATAGGGAAAGGTTTGTGCCCATCATAGCCCCTGAGCTTCATGAGCTCTTAGGCCTTCGTTGTGTTTTTAAACATGGATTGACTCCTATCTACCTTTGGAAATGCTGGGCAACTGTCCACAGCCTTACTCCAAGACTCACTATACTGTGAGATTAAACACATTCATCAAAATTATGGAAAGGTTCTATAAAGCTGAGAGGTGACAATCATTATTTCTGGGTGTATCACTCTTACATGTCTGTCTCTGTACACCTTAAGCAGCAACCCATGTTCAGAGACTCATATATAAAAGTCTAAAACTAGAAACAACCAAAATGTCCACCAACAGTTAAATTGTGGTATGTTCACAATTGAGCTATTACTCAATAAATGAAGTATACAAACTAAAGCAGCAACCTAGGTTAATCTCATAAACATGATAGTAAGCAAAAAAAGAGACATTTGGTTATTTTCATCCACATAAGTTTAAAACTAGGTAAACACAAAATTAAAACTTGGGAGACACCTTGCTGGAGGTGGGATAAGTTATAACACTGTAAGAAGGAAACTCTGGAGATTGGGGGATGTTCAGTTTCTCAGTGTGGGCTGTCACTTTGTGAAAATTCATATTGTGGTGTTGAAATCTATGTTTTTTCTGTATGTTTTATACTTCATAGTAACTTCATATAAAGAAATACCTACTACCCAGTGCATAGATAGAGAGGATAGAAGGAATGGATCACAGGTCAAGGCCAGAAAGACAGTAAGTAATAGGGAATCCAGGATCAATCCAGGTCACATTCCTAACTTTCCTCTCTTGTGCCCTCTATTATTCTACCTTCCAGAGCTAAGACAACAAAATGTGAGTCAGCACCTGATGCCTCCTTGGGGTCTCCTCCTCCATCCATCAAGCTAGGAACATCCCTGTATAAAAATGGGATGAAGGAGACCTTCAGCAACAGGTCAAGGAATATAAATATCATTGTCCAGACATGAAGAAGTCATGTATCAAATGTTGTATTTGGGAAGGAAGAGGGTACATAACACTTTCACCCTCCCCCTCTTCCTGGAGACCAGTGGGTTTAGTGCCTCATGGGCTCATCCACTCAGCACACATTTTCCAACCACCTTCTCAGCCTACACTCCGAAGGAGGTAGAGAAATGATTACAATAGTATCCTTCCCTCAGTTAATACACAGTCTAGTTTTCCTACTCTTTCCCTTTCTCACTCAGCACTGGAATGTGAGGAAAGGACAGTCATCAAATTAGATGGAAAACACTTTGCCTTTCTACTTCTTGAGAATCTTCATTACTATCCACTTTCTGAAACTTTAGAGGTTTTGTGGGGATTTTTTTTACAATTTAATATGACTTTTCAAATAACATGGACTTGTTCACCATTTCTGGGAACCAAATTTAACCATCAATAACACCTATAATCTGGCTAAGAATGCAAAGCAAGCCTCTTCTGAGAGGCAAGATTCTGAACCAGACCCATCAGGACCCAAACATGAGAAAATAAATGTTGTAAGTTGAATTGTGCTCCTCAAACATTTGTATGTTCAAGGCTTAGCTGCAACAGTGTCCACAATAAAAAGGAAGGTAAAGGATATCTATATAAGCTCTGAGATAATTCTTACCATACGTGTGCTCAGTGGAAAAAAATAGTCTAATGTCACATGACATATTCTTTTTCATTTAATATTCTTGAAATTACATCATTAGAGAGCAGGACAGATCACAGATTCATAGGAGCTAAGGATAGTAGGGACAAGAAAACAAATATGACTATCAAGTGGATGTCACAAAGAGGATCTTCATGCTCATGGAATCACTGTCTTGATTACAGTGGTGTTATGTATATCTAGATATATGATAAATGGTTTAGAGCTATATACACACATTGCACCAATGTCAAATGCTTAGTTTTGGCATTATATTATAATTAAGCAATAAATAACTATTTGCACAAAGTGGGTGGAGGTCACATCAAAGATGAGACCATACTTGCTAGGAACTAACTCAGAAACTATTTGTGTAACTTAAAGCCATTTTGTGCGACTTGAAATAATATGATACCTGAACTTGACACTAGGTAGATTTTATAGTAAGACCTAAGCCTCAGAAGCAAGTCCCTGGCAGGTCACCAGGTAGTTCATATAGGAGCTAACCCCAGGGCAGGCTTTGATATACTAATGAACTACCCCCAAGGTGGTGTTGATATACTAGTGAACCAGCCTCAAGCTATGAACCATGATAGCACAAAGCTACTGCCCAATAAAATGATACAAAAATTGGAATTTTGGGAATGGTCTCTAGGATCAATCTGCAGTGTTTGTGAGACATGGCTTCTCTAGCCTTTGTGTTAATAACCATCAGTAAGAGGACTTGAGATTCTGTGTGGTCCTGATTTCGGTGACTATTGAATTTCCCACACTGTCAATGGGCCCCCATAGGCCCATCTATCAGCACTAGCCATTGGCCTACATTCTCCAGGACATCCATCAGTGCCAATCTCCCAGCCTGCCACAGCTAAAGACCATCACCGAAGATTTGGGTTGAGCCTGAAAGCTTCCAAAGCATTTTCATCAAAGATTCCCCACTGGAACCCTGCAGCATCATTTCTGCCCAAACAACTGTTTCCCACCAGGAGAGATGTCTGCCTAACTTTTATATTAACATGATACTATAAGGAATGTTTGTGTGGATAAACCAGGCATATTAGAAAGACAAATCTTGTGTGGACATCCTAACTAAGGAGAGCCCTATAGCCTATAGATCAATGTTCTCCACAATACTGGATCTAAATGAGTCCTAAATCCAATGTTTGGCTTCTTTATATAGGGAAGGAGATTAATGATGTGGAGACTCCAGAGAGTGTACCATATCACCATGGAGACAAACTGGAGTGACACAGTGGCATGTCAAGGAAGAGTAAGGACTGCCTGGAGCAACCAACAGCTGGGGAAAAGGTATGAAATGGCTTTCCCCTCAAAGTATCCTGAGGAAACCAACCCAACCAATACCTTCTTGTTTAAGACATCTAGCCTTCAGAACTATAAGTGGGTAACTTCCTATTGTTTTCAGCACCAGTGTAAGGCACCTTGCTAGGGGAAAGCCAGGAAACTGGTACAATGCAGACAGCTAAAAGGATTGCTTAGCTTCCAAAAACCTCCCTTCTAAATTTATGAGTTGGCCCACAGGTGTTCATCTGCCCAGAGAAGGCTGTGTCCACTCATGGGCCTCTATAGCCCCTCCAGTTTGGAAAGCTCAAGTCAATGTGAATTAAAGACCAAATACACAGGATATCCAGACTGCTTCTCTTAGTAAGTAACATACAGGCCTTCTGCTCTAAAATATAAACTGTACAATCACCCTTCAATATGTCATGTACTGGCTATATAATTTGCACGGGACTCAATTTCTTATGTGTTAGATACATGTAATGATGGTAATCACTGGACAGGCAAGAGTTGTAAAGACTAAAAGGAGCAAGAAACGTATAAAGTTATACACGCTGCAGGCCTCATCCTCAAAGCACAGTGAGGCTGGGTAGTGAATGAGTACATTGTGCTTTCAGTGAGGTGCAGGGTGAACTGTCTTCAGTACCAAGTCCCATGAGTATCATGGTAAGCATAAGGACTGGAAAGGTACAACAGAGAAAGAAAAGAATGGGGGAATTAAAGATGGAAGACAAGAAAAATGGGAGAAAACAAAAACATCCCCACACTCAGGAGACAGAGACAGGCAGGTGTCTGTGAATTCCAAGCCAACCTGGTCTATAATGAATTCCAGCCCAGCCAAAGCTACATCCTGAGTGTGAGGATGGAGAAGAAGGAAGGAGGAGGAGATCTGCTAAGGAAAACTACGAAGGCCCTGCCATGGCAGTCCCCATGCATAGATAGGTCTGATAGATTCTTAGCACACAGTGGGGTTTGCCTGATACTGAGAGAGAAGAGGCAAGCCCACACCCATGGTGCAGAGGAGAATGTCAACTACTGGATAATTAGGCCTAGACATCTTAAGAGCAGTGTATAGATTATACTGAGGCAAAAACACAGTAGGAAAAATTGGAACTTCTCAGTAGTGGGCAATGGAATTTAGTGTCACAGATTGGGACAAGAGCTAACCCACCACCTCCTCCTGTCATTCCTTTCAAGTCAGCCACATTCCCCCTCCCCAGTCCTGGTTCCCTTAGGTGTGTGACCCCTCACCCCCACACCCGTCAACAAGACAGAGAGCTGCATCAGGGAACTTAAAATTCCAGCTCTAATGTCTGCATCTCAGAGTGGGATACTCTATGACTTTGAATGAGCAGTAGCTTTCCACTTGTAACATTTTGTGTCTATAAATGAAAGAATTTTGGAGTGGGAAGGGGTGCATGAGGCCCCAGCACTAATGGAGAGCTGTGGACAGTTGATGGCTTCTGGGGGAGGGAGAGTG